TGTCCTGTCTGAAATTCCTATAATACATAATAATGTAATGATTTTATTTTAAGATGCATGTACCATCTAGTCCCTTTTCAGGTAATAATTCTTTGGACCTTAACAGCTTTGGTACTTTTCTATTTTTGTTTTTGGTGGTCCTAGGATTTGAACTCAGGACCCCATACTGGCTAGACAAAGGCTCTATTACTTGAGCCATATCTTCTTTATTTTTCAGGTAGGGGTGTTTGCCTGGGCTGGCTTCAGACCATGATCCTCTTATCTAAGGCCTCCTATGTAGATGGAATCACACATACCACTACTTCTGGCTTACTGACTGAAATGGGGTCTTGTTAAGTTTTACAAGGGACTATCTCTGAACCATGATTCTTCTGATCTTTGTATTCTGAGTAGTTGGGATTACAGGTATGAGTAATTTCCTGGCATAGCTTTATACTTAAAAAAAAAACCAAGTTATTCTTATGCATTTTATCTTATTTGAGCCTATCATTACTATAGACATGGCAGATATTATTCTTATTTATAGGATGATGAACAGTTCTTAAGAGGTGACTGTGTGTGTGTGTGTGTGTGTGTGTGTGTATTCCTGGTAAGTTGTTAGGCCATTGTAGATCTGAGCTCTTTTGATTTTTTTTTCGTCAGTCGTGGGGCCTGAACTCTGGGCCTAGGTGCTATCCCTCAGCTCTTCAGCTCAAGGCTAGTGCTTTACCACTTGAGCCACAGCACCACTTCTGGCTTTTTCTGCTTATGTGGTGCTGAGCAATTGAACCCAGGGCCTCATGTGTGCAAGGCAAGCACTCTACCACTGAGCCACCTTCCCAGCCCTTTTTTGATTTTTTGAAGGCAGTGTGGTCTAGAGAACAGAGAAAACAGAGATATGGGTAGGAACAATGAGGGGTAGGAGAAAGAGCTGTGGGCTCTGGGTCAGATTTTGGTTCCAGTTATGGTTTTCACTCTTGTGTAACTTTAGAGAAGTTAGGTCCTTAGTCCCAGTTTGCTAGTTAGTATTGTTCCTGGCCTACCCCTGTGGATTTACTGTAATGCTCCAATTATGGTGATGACAGCATTTTTCTTAGCTTTTACCAGGTACTTTCTAAAAGCCAGATACTGTCCTAAAAGTTTTACCCATAATGTTTCAGCTTGTCACAGCACTTGAGGTATGTTATATGATCACGGATACAGAAATTAAGGTACAATATGTTAAGTAAGTAGACCAAGTTTATGTGCTACCTAGTGGCAAAGCCAGGATAGCAGTCTTAAGTCTAGAACTGCCACTGATAGTGTACGCACATGTGTGTGTGTGTGTTGGTACCAGAGCTTGACCTCAGGGCTCTTGGGGTTTTTCTGTTTGTGTTGGCTTAGGGTCTACAGCTGTCAACCTGAGTAGCTATGAGCCACCCTTTCTTAACCATTATAGACTGGAATCCCTCTGGACATGTGAGGTCCAAGTTGCATGGATCTGATTACTCTGCCCACTTGTGTAGTGATGAATATGGAAGGGTTGGGCCTAATGGATAATTTGTAGGGGAGAAGAGGTGGTTTCCTGAGGGTTCTAGATAGGACTGAAGCTGTTTGGGGACTATATTTGTTGTTGGAGGCACAGCTCATATGGTGAAAAAGCTGTATGAGAGTCTAGGCTAGTACTGGTAAAGTTAGAAGGGACTGAGATGTCCTGGGCTTTAGGTTATAAGAGCAAGGTGGGGTTTTCTACACTGCCCTGAATAATCTGCTACTCTTGGAGTTCAGAGCCTGATCTATTACAACCACCAAAATGGGGAAGGGTAGCTATGACAACCTTTGTAAACTTGTGTGTGTAGGGGTGGGGGGAGTGAGGGATGTTGTGTTCTGTAGTACTTGACTTTTTGCTCTTTGTCTGAAGGTACTTCCATTATTGCCCTTTCTTTGCTCTTTTTTTTTTTTTTGGTCAGTTGTGGGGCCTGAACTCTGAGCCACCAGCACCTGGCTGGTTTTAATTTTTTTAATTGTTATTAAAGGGGCTGGGAAGGTGGCTCAGTGGTAGAGCGCTTGCCTTGCATGCCTGAGGCCCTGGGTTCGATTCCTCAGCACCACATAAGCAAAAAGCAAAAAGCCTGAAGTGGCGCTGTGGCTCAAGTGGTAGAGCGCTAGCCTTGAGCTGAAAAGCTGAGGGACAGTGGCGCCCAGGTCCAGAGTTCAGGATCCATGACCAGACCCCCCAAAAAAAATTGTTATTAAAAAGGTGATGTACAGAGGAATTAGAGTTACATAAGTCAGGTAAAGACTTAAAGGTGGCTCAGTGGTAGAGTGCTTGCCTACCATGTATGAGGCCCTGGGTTTGATTCCTCAGACCACATAAGCAGAAAAAGCCAGAAGTGGCACTGTGGCTCGAGTGATAGAGCACTAGCCTTGAGCTGAAGAGCTGAGGGACAGCACCCAGGCCCAGAGTTCAGGCCTCACGACCAAAAAAAAAAAAAAAAAAGTACATTTCTTTTGGACAATGACACCCTTTCCCCTATACTCTCCCAATTTTTCCCTCCTGTCCCCACCCACGAGTTGTGTAGTTCATTTTCAACATAGTACCTACCAGTGAATGCCACTGCCGCATTTGATTACCCTTTGTCCCTTTATTTCTGGGCCTCCCCTTAGGTACTGGACCTTTTTTTTTGAAGTGTCACTTGATGCTTGTGGGCCTGCTGAGGCCTCTTACCCTAGAGAGGAGAGGGGGACAGTGATGATGAGGGGATACAGGCCAGGATGGATTGTCGGACTGTGTTTCTAGCCCTAGACAGTGAACTGTAGAGGTGAGTGCTGAGGGTTTATGGGTAGGCTTGTCCCTTGGTCCTTGCTCCTCTTTTCTGGCCCAGGTGAAGCAGGGGGGCACTAGGACCCAGAGGGTAGTACTGGTCCTGACAAGTCTGGAGCAGCACTAGCGCAGAGTGAGACTCATCAGCTGGCAAGCAGGATTCGGTATCTCTGGTTCAGGAATCCTCGGGCAGCAGAGGGGACTTGCTTCACAGCCCCCATCATTGCCCTCACCCCTAGCCGGGTAGGGTACCCCACCTAGTGAGGCCCATGGACTGGGGAGAGCTGTGCCTGACGCCTCCTGTGTCAGCCCATAAGGGCCCAGCGCCCTGACCCTCCTGCCTAGGTTTCTGCCTTTTCTCTCTGTCTTTGGCTGGCTGGGGGAGGGGGTAGAAGCCAGGTGAGCAACATGGCCCAGAGCAAGAGGCACGTATACAACCGGGTAAGTGGCCCTAATTTGGGATGGCTCTGGGAAAACTGCTGGAGAAGGCCTGGGTGCCTGTGGACATCATTGCTGTGGGGGCTGGGACTCAGCTGGGGGCACACATGGACTAAAGACTGCTCCAAAGCCCTGACAGTCTGGACAGATTTCCTTTCCTAGAGTTGGGCCCTAACCGGGGACTGTCAAAGCCTGTCTTCTGACTCCAGTTGGCTTTCAGGCCAGTGGGGGTCCAAACTATTCAGGGACTCAGAATGGGGCAGATGGTCAGAAAGGACTTCCGTAGAGCTGCTTTGTTGTTTGCCATTTGTCCTCTCTTCTGTCTGAGATAGAGTCTGTACCACTGTTGAGTCCACCTGGTTTGAAGAGGCTCATTGGGAAGTCGGGGAGAATCTTAGAGGTCCAGCCTTGGTGGCAGTGGCAATTTTCTTCATTGTCAGGTCCATGAGATGTGCCCTAATGTCCTGGGTATAGTTTGTGTTCTTGAATTCCCTGGAAGCTATGCCCTTACCTTCCTGGGTGTGCTTTTTGGGAAAGGGAGTTAGGAAGTGACAGGTTTGGAAATGTACTATCTCGTCGTTGCTTCTCTCAGGGTTCTTTTCTGATGTCAACTTGGGGGTATCAGAATGGAGCCCTTTGGAGTTATTAGGATCATGTCACTTTTTCTTGCTCCATTTATGTTTGCTGCAAGGCTCCCTGGTTCATGGAGCTGCTATTGCTAAAAATGGCTTAGGTGTGATTTTCTTAAATCATGGGCGGATTTGGGACCTAATTGCAAATACATCAACAGCTGAGAGCATCCCAAGAAAGTGTTTTACTTTATCCCTTTGTTTTGTCCATTTATGAAGTGATAAGACATGCATTTGAACCACTGGGCAGAGTTTGAGGATAATGTGAGGGACAAATCTGAGCTACCTGATTTACTTTTTATGACAACAAAGCATTGGGGAAGGATTTCCAGAGTTTGAATGGTAGAGAGCAGACAGAACAGGACAAAGGCCAGGAAGAAGGGAATTGATTGACTGAATGTACTGTAGTGCAGCATCAGGAGTATTGTGATGGGTGTGTGGATGGGAGTCAGATCATGAAGGAGTTGTGGTAACTTCAAGGCCTGCGAGGAGGCATCATTATATATCTGTGAAAGGAAGAGGCTTAGTTCAGTGTGGTGGTATACATCTGTAATCTCAGGACTCAGGTGGCTGAGGCAGGAGGATCAAGTGTTCAAGTCCAGCCTGGGCTATGTAACAGATCCTGTATCAACAGAAAAACAAAAATAAACAAGAAAAAAGTGAGAGAACCACTCGAATCCCAAGGAATACAGTTGATAGTTGAGAAGGAAATGAGATTCTGTAGGGCTGCCCACTGAATCACCTGTCTTCCAAGCTCAGGCTTCTGAGTCAAGGCATTGGGTTGTAGGAGCCTAGTCTAAACTATTATTTGCGTCTGCTTATTCCTCTTCTTGGGGGCAGTGCTCCAGAGAAAGCAGTCATATGGTGACATTCACAGATCTATCAATGAATTCTGATTTGTTATAACATTTAAACATAAACTCTTAAAAATCCTAGATGATTCCAGATGAGTTTGACATCTTAGGAAGACATATCACTGACATTTTTCAACGAGGAATTTGTAGGCTTTGCTCATTCTGAGGATGGTGTTCAAGGAATGACTCTGGTCTTTTTTCAGCCCAGGATCCTGGCTAAGGCGTTTCTTATGCATTAGGATGCCATCCTTGACCTAGGCCTCTAATTGTGTATGCTTTTGTGTGTCTTTCTTTCAGACGCCCAGTGGCAGCAGAATGAGTGCAGAGGCAAGTGCCCGGCCTCTGCGGGTAGGGTCCCGTGTGGAGGTGATTGGAAAGGGCCACAGAGGAACTGTGGCTTATGTTGGGGCCACACTCTTTGCCACTGGCAAATGGGTAGGCGTTATTCTGGATGAAGCAAAAGGCAAGAATGATGGAACTGTCCAAGGCAGGAAGTATTTTACTTGTGATGAAGGTCATGGCATCTTTGTGCGCCAGTCCCAGGTATTTACCCCTTGCATACGCGTGTGTGTATGTGTGTGTTTGTGTGAAGATATCTGTTGTGAGTGCAGCTGATGTATAGGTATTTCCTTTTCCTTGGTGGGGGATAAGCTTCTGGTTGGGAGAATGGGAGGTAGCAGGGAGGAAAGATTGGAGATTCTTCCTAGGGAAGTTGCCCTGTATACCAGATTGCTTGTGGAGTAGGGTGGTACCTATATAGCCTTTCTTGAACAGGCTATATTGATATATTTTGTGGATTCAGATCCAGGTATTTGAAGATGGAGCAGATACTACTTCTCCAGAGACACCTGATTCTTCTGCCTCAAAGGTTCTCAAAAGAGGTAATAGCCATCCACTTAAGTTGCTTCCTCATACCCAGAAGTCCCCAGCCTTTCTTCCCATAATGAGGGGCCATAGTGGATACTGAAGTTTTTCTATAACCACCATAGTCCCTTGTTATAGCTCCTTACCCTACTATGGCTTTACTCATTTTTTTTTTTTTGTCCGTAGTGGGGCTTGAACTCTGGGCTTGGGCGCTGTCCCTGTGCTCTTCAGCTCAAGGCGATCACTTTACCGCTTGAGCCACAGTGCCACTTCCATCCTTACCCTACTATAATGTTTCTTGTCTCTACCCTATTATACAAATGCACACTTTGTTTGTTTTCTGCAGAGGGAGCTGATACAGCGGCAAAGGCCAGCAAACTGGTGAGTGGTTTGGAAGTGGGAGTAGGGAGTAATATGGATAGATGGAGGGAGGGAGACCAATGCTAAAAAGGTAGAAGCTGTAGGTGAGTCTGAACTGCTTCAGTCTTTCTAACCTCCCTGAGAAGGAAGCTTTCTGTATGTAAGTTGATCTGTTAGGGTTAGAATAGTAGTAGTAGGGGAAAACTGTTAGGTTCTACAAGTATAGAGTTAAATGGGATTGAGCTGAGGATGATAGAAAGAACAGATCTGACCCCAGTAGTATAGGCAGCTTCCTACCTTCTGGTATCCAAAGATACTAAGACCCAAAGGGTTTGTGGGATGGAAAGGTAGCAAGTAGAGGGGGACATTCTGTTCACAAATGGTGGGTGGAATGAGCCCAGTTCCTTTCTGTTTGCTTTGGCTGTATATAGAGGGCACTTCTTAACTCTCCTGTGCCACTCCTCTTCAGTGTTGTGAGGTGGTCTTTAGCTTCTTTGGGCCAGGGTGTGGACATCCTAGACGCTAATGTTTGAGGGACTCCTTATCTTCCTTTGCCCAGAGCTTAACCTTGAACTGAATCCCCTTCACCTATTATCTGTTTACATTTGTGTTGGTATTGATGCCTATGCCCAAGATGTCTGGCCAGCTAGCATAATGCCATGTCTGTCCTTTTAACTTTGCCCTTTCCTACTCCTAATGCAGCGGGGACTGAAGCCTAAGAAGGTGGCATGTTTACTGTTTGTGCTTGGGTGGGTGGGAGTCAGTAGCCCTCTACTCCTGTTGTCCTGCATGCCATTGGGCTGCTGCATGCATATGTATATGTAATCTTGGGGCTGGGATGGCCAGAGGAAATGGCAGTTTTGCTTCTAGAGTTCCTGGAAGAGGGGAGCAAGAACATCAGGCTCAGTGGTTAGGCCCAAGTAACATTCCTTAGAGATGATTTCTCCCTGCTCCAGACTCCTAATCAGAGTCTCCAAACAAATGACTGTAAATAGCAACAACATAAAATAGAGCATTTACTGGCTTATGGTAGGTCTCCCTTAGCCAAGGTTGAGGGTGATAGGACAGATTGAAGGAATAGGGCTAAGGAAAGTACTAAGTGAAATAGCTGTGCAAACAGGCAGGAGGCTATAGAACAGAACACAGGAAGAATAGTTGGAAAGCCACTGGGTCAAGATGGCTACAAATTTACACTTTTATTCTGCTCCATTGCTCTTTCTCTGCCTCCTCCTTCATTAGGTTGAGGCCTACCTCTCCCCTATTGCAGTGGCTCAAATGTGCTGCCTCTCTCCCTTCCTTATGAACTTTAAAAACTTAAATTACTGCCATGACCACTTCCACTCCCTAACCCTTACCTTGGTCCTCTGTCCAAGTTGTTTCTGATGTGCACGTGCCTGTCTGAGAGTATGTACTGTACCATATGTACAATGTTATTTCCTTGTTGTCAACCTGTTGCTGGCCTTTCTTATGCTGCATGGATTGCTGCTGGATTGGGGCAATGGGAAGGGAGACGGGGGAAAAATTCTCCCTTTTGACAAATGGTGGGAGATAGATTCTTTATTTGGAGTCTTGACCTGGTGAAGACTACATACTGGAACTTTAAATCCTGAGTCCCAGCTCCAGATGGGAATGGGGTTGTAAGGAAAATAAAGCTCAAAAGGATGCTGGGCCCATTCTAGGCTAATAGAAACTTGGCTTTCCTTTATTTTGTCTTCTGGATGGAACTCTCACCTCACCTCAGGCCCCTGGACAGAGAAGAACATGAAGCTGCTATCTGAGATCAATGGAAGAGTTCTGTTTGCAGCCTAATTTAACCCTGTCAGGGGCCTAAAAGGCAAAGCTTAGCCTAAACTACCTGAGCTGGGTTCAGTACCTTCTTTGCTCATGGTAAAAAATGTCCTCACCCTGCTCCCCCCCCCCCCCCCCCATATCATCTGTGCCAGTGGGTCTCTTAAAGCAGATCACTTAGCCAGGATCCCTGCTCTTTTCCTATGTGGAAATGGGAGCTACATCTGGAGCAAAAAAGAATGCTTTGAGGGAGGGCCAAAGAGAACATAGATGTCACCGCAAAAATACTGAATCATTTTTTTGAAAGCCCTTTCGAGTCAGGCTCAGAAGAGCCCAACGCTGTCATTAGAACTATTTTCCTGACAGATTGTTCTCTAGGGTTCATTGATTACTCTGTGTGCTCTTCAGAGCAGAAGCTGGATGGAGGGTTGTGCTCTGGTTTTGTATTTCTGATGAGAGACAAGGGTATTGCCAGTATGTGTAAAAGAAGTGGATTTGATGCGATTGTCAGGAAAGCAGAGTGCAATTATGAAAGAGATTGATGGAGCAGGGAGACCTTCATTCCTGCTCACTGGCCCTGGTCCCATAAGGTGCCATTTCTGGGCCACCCCTAGCCCTGTTTTTGTGGAGCAAGCTCTTGGGAGTGGGTAAGGGAGGGAGGACGGAACTAGAACCTGATCTTTAGAGGAAGTGGAAAGGCGGGATTTGCACAGGACTTTGTCCAGTCATGAGGAGGAGGAGGAGCCACTAGGGCCCTGGGTGGTTGCTAGGTGACTGTGGAACAGTGGCTCCACCCCTATGGAGCAGAGGAGGGTGGGTGCATGACGTCAGATGGAGCTGGTGCTGCGGCCACTGAGGCTGCCATCAGCCTAAGCTGGCAAACTGGGCCGGGCACTGGTCTGGTGTTTGCTGGAGCCTGGCTGTCCTGCTGCGCACCTGAGGGGGGCCCTCTGTGTCCCAGCAGCAGTTTGTAGGCTGGGAAGCCGCTGGCCTGGAAGCTGAGGCTGTATTGTTGGGATTTGATGCACTAATCTCCTGTCTCCGCCGCCTCTCCCTCTGTTCGGTCTCTTTCCCTCCCTCCCTTGTCCGTCTTTCCTCCCTTGTTTGTCTATCCTCTTCTCTCCTTCCTTCTCTTACCTTTCCTTGCTTTCTGTGGTTTTCTGCAATGATGAGACAGGCACCGACAGCCCGAAAGGTACTCTTGCTTGCTCTGGTCTTGCTGCCAGGTTGCCAAGGCAATGGTGGCAGCTGGCTGCTGGGGTGGGGGTGGGGGCTGGCTGACTTTATTCTACCTGGTTGGGGGAGGAGGTAAGGGTAGAGGGTCTGGGAGAGGTGTGTGTCACTACTGTGCCCCACTTCTGAGTGTATGCTCCCTACCTTGCTAGATTTGGTCTCTGAGTCTGTGTTCCAGGCCTGTATCTATAGCCTCACAAGCTTAGGCTTTAGCCCACCTTTACAGCCAACAGGCTTGGGGAGTTTCCTGTGATAGAGCCTGAAGAAGCTGGCTCAGGCATCTCAGTGCCTGTAGCAGGCCTACCTGCCTCACTCAACCTGCGCTAGAACGACTCTTGGTTGTTGTCCCAGCATTCCCCCTCCCTCAGGGTTTGTGTCAGGGATTTTTTTTTTTTTTAACCATGGTGGCATGGAGATCCCAAAATAGTCTTTGACTAAAGCTGTGGATGCTGTCCTGTGCAGGTATGGAGATGGTCTTCTTGGGCTCAGATTTCCTAGAAACAGACCTAAGCCATGATTTGTCTTTGCCAGAGTGATAAGATACTAGGCAACTCTTAGGGAGTTGGAGCTAATTGCCTATTTACCACCTTGTGGTAACCCAGAGGATTTCTGAATTTGGTTTAGGACAGTAGTTTTTCTGTGCTGCTGCCTACCCCTACTTCCGTCTTTCAGCTGGGTGGGGTTATTTTGCTGAGCTCTGTGCTTCTAGTAATGCAATATTCATAACCCTGACACTTGAGCCCTCTGTCTTAGGGATGGGGATTGTTGTGGGATCTGGTGGGTTAGGGGGAAAAGGAGGGAGGGAAATAGTGCTTAGGGATCTGATCTCACACTTTCGGGTTATATCCACTCTTGTCATGGTGGTGATTGTTCCCCTCTATGAAGTCTAGCACTTGGAGGAAGAGAGTGACCTGGGAAAGCCATTGGGAGTAGTGTCTGGGTGGGGCCTCAGGGGAGGAGTGAGAGAGGTTGTTCACAGAAGGATTGATCTATGGAGACCTTGCCAGCTGCTGCATTTGATCTCTGTGGCTCAGCCTAGGAGACAGGACTTCTGGGATTTCTAGAGTAGCTGAAAGGGTAAAGCCTGCAAGGGTTGGACAAAAATAGCAGGAACCAAGGGGAACAGGAGTTCTGAGTTCCTAGAGTAGGAATGCCATGATTCAGTGGACGGGAGTTGGGATGGGGGCTGAGGGTGGTGGCTAACTGCAGCCTGTTCCCATGATTACTTCTGCTCTCACTGCTGTCCTTTTGCTGTCTATCTTTCTGCCATTATTCTTTCTTTCCTGACTACTTCTCCTCTGGCTCCTGTTGTCCAGACCACAACTCGGCGGCCCAAGGTGAGAATAAACAGTCCTGTGCAAGCCACTGCTGAGTGTACAAACATTTTGGCATGTGCATGTATGTGGGCATGTGTAGTAGGACGTAAAAGTTGGTCATAGTACATTATGGGTTCCCTTTGAGAGAGAGAGGAGCTTGGAGTTGGTGATAAGTCTTTTCTAGGAAAATGGCTTCCAGCTATCAGGAGGATAGCTGAGCCAGTAGATTGAATACAAAAGAGAAGTGAGATTATGGCTAGCCAAGACAGGCTTTCTTGAAGAAGGTAATTTTGACCAGTTTTGAGGTAAAGCACTTGGCACTGTACAATGTGAGAGTTAGGAGAAGAGTATGCCTGTGAAAGCTTTCGGGTGGGAGTATCTGTGGGTAGCATGTTGTTCCTCAGAGTCAGGAGAACTAAGGGGGTTGGCTCTGCTAGGAAGACTTCTGGGCAGGCCTGACTGCCCCAAGGCTTGGGGCTGCAGGACAACTGCTCAGCCCTTACTCCCATTCTCCCAGTCCCCCAGGGGCCTGAGTAGTATTACTTGATTATAAACTTTGTCTTGGGGCAGTAAATACAGTAGGTTAGCTGTACTTACCTTGCTTTAGGAGGGAGTCTGGGGCTACAACTTTCACCTTGGCCCTTTACATAGATCATGGGAGGGTGATTCAGCATGACTTCCAGAGTAGAGATGGACTGCCAGGGCTAGAGAGGCCAGCCCTCCCAGTTTTAGCTCATCCTTCTCTGGGAACATGAAAATCGAGAACAAACTCTAATCTGTTCTTTTTCTCTGGGAATGACATTGAAGCACTTTTTTTCTCCCTGGGGAGTTGGGCACAGACCCAGAGCAAGGATGGGACTGGGAGTGTTAAGAAACTGCTGATCACAAATGGGTCACAGAAGGGAGTTCTGGGGAGTAAGGGATTCTGCTCTAAAGGTAACACCAGAGCTAGGCGGAATGTGCTGTTCATTGCCAAGGGAGGAACCTTCTAATCTTATGTCTTTTCCCATCCTTTCCTCCCTCCCTCCGCCCCCTGTCCTTTTTACTGTTGCTTTTTGACGGTATCATTTTCTGTCTTCCATCTACTGCCTCTGTTCCCATTGTGCTTTCATATTCTTCCTGCACTTTCTTTTCTCTGACTCCTGCCCTTGCCATATTCTCATACTGTCTCTCTCCCTTCATCTCCACCATCCTCTGTTCTCTCTGGACTACCCCTACTCTCTCTCGAATAGCCCACTCGCCCAGCCAGTACTGGAGGGCCTGGAGCCAGTAGCTCCTTGGGGCCCTCTGGTTCAGCATCAGCAGGTGAACTGAGCAGCAGTGAGCCCAGCACCCCAGCTCAGACTCCACTGGCAGCACCCATCATCCCCACACCAGCCCTCACTTCTCCTGGAGCAGCACCACCACTTCCTTCCCCCTCCAAGGTAAGAACTGGAGTTGAGTTAGAGGAGAATCAAGATACTGGGGGCTGGTGACTCCTGGCTGGGTGTCGGAAATTTTCTGGGGCTAGGGAGGACCTAGAACTTGATTAGAAAGAGTGGGTGTATAGGGGTATAACATATGGATATCTTATTACTGGCCAAGCTACCTTTTCCTTTCTTACTGTTCTTTCACACTTTCCTTATACTTACTCTGCTGGTTTCATTTGTTTGCCACTTGGTTTTGATGCTGGGGCTAAAAATGTTTGTATGCTTTTTTTTTTTTTTGTCCGTTGTGGGGCTTAAACTTTGGGCCTGGGCACTGGCCCTCAGCTCTTCAGCTCAAGGCTAGTGCTCTACCACTTGAGCCACAGCACCACTTCTGGTTTTCTGGTGTTTAATTGGAGATAAGAGTCTCATGGACTTTCCTGCCCAGGTTGTCTTCAAACTGCAATACTCAGATCTCCGCATCCTGAGTAGTTAGGATTACAGGCGTGAGCCACCGGCACCTGGCTATACACATTTTTGTCTTCTCTGCTCCAGCTAAGTTGTATTGGGGAAGAGGGATGGGCTATATATACACACAGATGCTGGGGCTTCTCCTTGGCAGGAGGAGGAGGGGTTGAGGGCTCAGGTACGGGACCTGGAGGAGAAACTGGAGACTCTGCGGCTGAAGCGGGCAGAAGACAAGGCAAAGTTAAAAGAGCTGGAGAAACACAAGATCCAACTGGAGCAGGTGCAGGAATGGAAGAGCAAAATGCAAGAGCAGCAGGCAGACCTTCAGCGTCGCCTAAAGGAGGCACGGAAGGTGAGATCAGGATGGATGAAAGGGGTACCTGGGGAGACTGAGGGCTCTGAGGAAGTAAACTGGAAATTAGGTTGGAACTTGTAGCACCCTGTGAATAAAGACAGTGTGGGGCTCTCTACTCCTGCCTCACCCACCAAATCCTTTTACCAGGAAGCCAAAGAGGCTCTGGAGGCAAAGGAGAGATACATGGAAGAGATGGCAGACACTGCTGATGCCATTGAGATGGCCACTCTAGACAAGGAGATGGCTGAAGAGAGGGCAGAGTCTCTGCAGCAGGAGGTGGAGGCCCTGAAGGAACGTGTGGACGAACTTACCACAGACTTGGAGATACTCAAGGCTGAAATTGAGGAAAAGGGTAAGGCACACAGAGCTACAGGGGCCAAGTGGTAGGGTGAGGCCAGCCTGAATATGTTTATGCTCTTTACCAGGTTCAGATGGAGCTGCATCCAGTTACCAGCTCAAGCAGCTTGAGGAGCAGAATGCTCGCCTGAAGGATGCCTTGGTGAGGTAGGCTTCTCCTCGCTGCTTGGCTTTGATGCTCACTCTGCTGCCTCCAAATTAGCCTGATAGTGACCAACGATACTCTGTCTTCTTTCTTCGCCACAGAATGCGGGATCTTTCTTCCTCAGAGAAGCAGGAGCACGTGAAGCTCCAGAAGCTCATGGAAAAAAAGAACCAAGAGTTGGAAGTTGTGAGACAACAGAGAGAACGCCTTCAGGAAGAGCTGAGCCAGGCAGAGAGCACCATTGATGAGCTCAAGGAACAGGTCTGGGAAGCCTAGCTCACCCGTCTGATTCTCCTGTTGCCACTTCCTCCTTCTCTAGACACCTTCCAGCAGCACTTCTTCCTGTGTCCTCTCTGTTACACAGGTTGATGCTGCTCTGGGTGCTGAAGAGATGGTAGAGATGCTGACCGACCGGAACCTGAATCTGGAAGAGAAAGTGCGGGAGTTACGAGAGACTGTGGGCGACTTGGTAAGAGAAGAGCAAACTCCTGATTTCTGACCATAGTGGTGTGTATTTGGAAGGGATCTGCTGGGAGAACTTGACATATGACCCATGACCTATACTCAGAGTATGTGATAAGGTAAATCATCCTGGCCCTGCTCCGTGTCTTGACCCTGTCTTTGCTTTCCCCCAACTACCTTGTGGTATCCAGGAAGCAATGAATGAGATGAATGATGAGCTACAGGAAAATGCACGTGAGACAGAACTGGAGTTGCGAGAGCAGCTGGATATGGCAGGTGCCCGGGTGCGGGAGGCCCAGAAGCGTGTAGAGGCAGCTCAGGAGACAGTTGCAGATTACCAGCAAACCATCAAGAAGTACCGCCAGCTGACTGCTCACCTACAGGTACCAACTTCTTGCCCTTGCTGCCGCTCTTGCCCTTTCTCTGTGATCTCCCTAGAGATGCAGTTTTGCCTCACTGTCTGTTCCCAGGATGTTAATCGGGAACTGACAAACCAGCAGGAAGCATCTGTGGAGAGACAGCAACAGCCACCTCCAGAAACTTTTGACTTCAAAATCAAGTTTGCTGAGACTAAGGCCCATGCCAAGGTCAGGAAAGTGGGTGGCCTAAAGGCCAGGATGAGTGTGCCTCTGTTCTTAACAAGTGTGGGGTTCCGAGCTTCAGATTTTTGAGGGGGAGGAGGTTCTTTGTGTGGTAGTATGGAAGAATATAGTCCTGGATTTGTCCCTAGAGTAAGGGATTTGGTGAAGTAAGATATGGTAGTTCTAGAAATTAGATCCCTCTTTTCCTCCCTGTGTACCTTATAGGCTATTGAGATGGAATTAAGACAGATGGAAGTGGCACAGGCCAACCGACACATGTCCCTGCTGACAGCCTTCATGCCTGACAGCTTCCTTCGGCCAGGAGGGGACCATGATTGTGTCCTGGTGCTACTGCTCATGCCTCGTCTCATTTGCAAGGTATATTACATGTGCAATAAAAATCTACTGGACTTCTCTGAGCCAAGTGAAAGTAGTCATCATCATTTCTTCCCACAAAGAGTTTGAGGTAGCAGAAGTACATGCTGGCAATTGAGTTACAGATAAAAATATACAGTGTCCATGTTTATGGATTCTGCACTGGATTCAACAAGCTTGGTAAGAGCAGAAACCTCTTCTCTCCTACTCACTGCTGAAGCAGGACAGTGGCTGGCCCTGAAGGCTTTTTTTTCCCCCCTGGCTGGTCCTGGGGCTTGAACTCAGGTCCTGGACGCTGTCTATGAGCCTCTTTGTGCTGAAGGCTAGTGCTCTACCACTTTGAGCCACAGTGCCTGGTTTTCTGGTGGATAGTTGGAGGTTAGAGTCTCACAGACTTTCCTGCCTGGGCTGGCTTTGAACTGTGATCCTCAGATTTCATTCTCCTGAGTAGCTAGGATTCATAGGCATGAGCCACCAGTGCTTGGCAAATTTTATGCTTATTCATTTAAGTGATTTGTCTTAAAAATTTTGGAAAAAATTGTATTTATACAATACAGTATAACAATTACTTATATACCATTTATGTTACATTAATCCAAAAAAAAAGTCTTTGCTGTTACATTAAATATTAAAAGTAATCTAGAGATGATTTACAATATAAGGGATGATGCACATAGATTATATGAAAGTACTATGCCATATATAAAGTATATGAACAGCCATATATTATTTGTGGGAGGTTTTTTTTTTTTGCCAGTCTTGGGGTTTGAACTCTAGGCCTGGGCACTGTCCTTGAACTTCTTTTTGCTTAAGGCTAGCACTTTACCACTTGAGCCATAGCGCTATTTCTGGCTTTTTGTGTATGTGGTACTAAGGAATCAAACCCAGGGCTTCATGCATGCTAGGCAAGCACTCTACCACAAGCCATATTCCCAGTCCTATTTGTGGGAGTTTCTGAAACCAATCAGATAACTTTCCTTCATAAATATTTTTTTATGAAAAAAAAGTTAAGTTTCTTATGAGAGCCCAGCTAGGGATCTGATTTAGAGTAGGGCAGGATGAGGAATATCGTTTAAGCTGAGGGCCCAAAGGTTGCTAAAAGTAGATAGGAAAATAATTGGCAGGATAGTGTTCTAGATGGAGAGACAGCTTTAAGCCAGCTTTCAGTCCCACTGCCCATTCATTCTCATTCCTAATCTTCACAAGCTCCTCACATCATTACCCTTTTCCCTAGTGAGACTTGCTGCTCATCTATCTGCTTTCTCTTGCTCTTGTACTCCTCACATAGTTGTTAAGCTATCTCCTGAATTCCTGGGCCTGTGTTCTCCACCCTTTGCTCAAGTCCCTGCTCTTCTTCCCACAGGCAGAACTGATTCGGAAGCAGGCCCAAGAGAAGTTTGAACTAAGTGAGAACTGTTCAGAGAGGCCTGGGCTGCGAGGAGCTGCAGGGGAGCAGCTCAGCTTTGCTGCTGGGCTGGTATATTCACTGAGTCTGCTGCAGGCCACACTGCATCGTTATGAGCAGTAAGTGACTCCTGACCTCCATGCCAGGGCCATGGGTTCAGGATTAACTGAAACTGAGTTTGCTTGGAAGACCTTGGCTTCACAGAGCCCTTCTCTGGTCTCTAGTGCCCTCTCTCAGTGCAATGTGGATGTGTATAAGAAGGTGGGCAGCCTCTACCCTGAGATGAGTGCCCATGAGCGCTCCTTAGATTTCCTCATTGAGTTGCTACACAAGGATCAGCTGGATGAGACTGTCAATGTGGAACCTCTCACCAAGGCTATCAAGTACTACCAGGTCTGGGGCGAGAATTCATGCATGGGGTAGGTGGGAGGGAAGCTTTTGCATAAGGGGCGTTATTTTCAGTGTATTCAAGGTTGCATGTCTTAGGTTGGCTGCTTTTGGCCCAATTTACTCTGAAGTGTACTTGTCTTATGATGCAGTTCCTTGAAGGTTTTGGATATTCTTGAGACCCGTAATGGTCAGGACTCAAATTACAGTTTGGGAAGGACTTCTCCTGTCCTTCCACAGGCTAAAGGCTCTCTGTTTCTTTATCATCCCTCCTCAGCATCTTTATAGCATCCACCTTGCCGAACAGCTAGAAGACTGTACCATGCAGCTGGCCGACCACATTAAGGTGAAGTGCCATGATAAGTGGTTAATCCTTTTATAGAGGTTAGAATAAAGGATATTAGTCCTGGAGGGATGTCATATAAGACTGTGGAAGGGTCATCATAGCCAGATCAGGCAAGTTGGAAGATCCTATATGTGGATGTCAGCAGAGGGAAAGGCTTCTTAGAGATGATAATGTGGGCAGAAAGGCTCCTATTGGAGATTAAGACCATATGTTTCTATCCCCACAGTTCACCCAGAGTGCTCTGGACTGCATGAGTGTGGAAGTGGGGCGGCTGCGTGCCTTTTTACAGGTGAGGGCACTTCTAGATCTGTGCAAGTTCCTTTTCTTTTTTATTCCCTACCTCACTCCCAGCCCTTATGCTAACTTGATTTCTCATCCATTTCTTATTTCCTATGTAGAGTGGGCAAGAGGCTACAGATATTGCTCTTCTACTCCGGGACCTGGAAACATCATGTAGTGACATCCGCCAGTTCTGCAAGAAGATCCGAAGGCGAATGCCAGGAACAGATGCTCCTGGGATCCCAGCTGCTCTGGCTTTTGGACCACAGGTTTATTGCTCCAAGTGTAGAAGGGCAAGAAGCTGAGTAGAGCTAGGAGGGGGCTAGCACATTAAGACTGGATCTAAGGCTAGAGGCATGGCTCAAGTAATACAGAACCTACATGAAGCAGGCCCACACGAAGCCCTGGGTTCGAACTACATTACTGCAAAAAAATTTTTTTTTTAAAGTCTGGATCTTGTCAAGGGACAAAAAATAGTTTTGGAGTAGCTAGGACAAAAAATAGTTTTGGAGTAGCTAGGAACTGTGATGCTGGACTCAGGGTGGGCTTTTGACTCTAATCTATTACACAGGTATCCGACACACTCCTAGACTGCAGAAAACACTTGACATGGGTGGTGGCTGTACTGCAAGAGGTGGCAGCTGCCGCTGCCCAGCTCATTGCCCCACTGGCAGAGAATGAGGGGCTACTTGTGGCTGCACTGGAGGAACTGGCTTTCAAAGCAAGCGAGCAGGTTGGATTGGATGGCTGAGCAGGAGGAGGTGGCAGTTAAGTAACCAGTGCAGGACTTTCACTTCTGTCCTTGGCTTCTGCAGATCTATGGGAGCCCCTCCAGCAGCCCCTATGAGTGTCTGCGCCAGTCATGCAACATCCTCATCAGCACTATGAACAAGCTGGCCACAGCCATGCAGGAAGGGGAGTATGATGCAGAGCGGCCCCCCAGCAAGGTGGGTGGACACTTCATTGGAAAAATCTAGAGGTTAGGAGGGGCAGGACATGTATATTGTTGCCAGTGGTGGGAGGGCAAGGATGCACGAGGAAGATGCCTGAAGCAACATTCTGCTGAAGGTTTTCTCTGACTGGATTCTCTGAAAGGAGTACATTGGTAATCTCTGTCTGCCTCGACCTTCTGACCAACCTTATCCCTTAGCCTCCTCCTGTTGAACTTCGGGCTGCAGCCCTTCGTGCAGAGATCACAGATGCTGAAGGCCTAGGTTTGAAGCTTGAGGATCGAGAGACAGTTATTAAAGAATTGAAGAAGTCACTTAAGATTAAGGTAAGGGTAGGCTGTGAGGGCTCAAAATATGGTGGGACCTAGGGCAGCAGCAAATGTCAGGTTGGGACTGAGATGGCTTGAGGGTTGAGGGGAGAAGTAGAGCCTGTGATCAGGGAGTCATACAGGAGCTTTTCAGGTCATGGGGTCATGGGGAAGATGTCAGGGTACTGGAAGCTATCTACCTTGTCCAGGGAGAGGAGCTGAGTGAGGCCAATGTGCGACTGAGCCTCCTAGAGAAGAAACTGGACAGTGCTGCCAAGGATGCAGATGAACGCATTGAGAAAGTCCAGACACGGCTGGAGGAGACCCAGGCACTGCTGCGGAAGAAAGAGAAGTCAGGCACCTTCCTTGGAGCTCTGCTTCTTCTAATCCTCCCTCCTGTTGGAGGCTCTCTATTCTTAAGCATTCCCTTTCCCCCTTGTAGTATGATTCTCCTAACCTCACTATTCCTGCCCTTGTTTTTCACTAGCATGGATAGTAAGGGGTACAATGACCTGCTGGGACTGAAAGGTCAGGTATGACAATGGAGAAAGGCCATTCCTAAGCCTAGATTCTATTTCACAGAGAGTTTGAAGAGACCATGGATGCGCTCCAGGCTGACATTGACCAGCTAGAAGCAGAGAAGGCAGAGCTAAAGCTGCGGCTAAACAGCCAGTCCAAACGCACAATCGAGGGGCTCCGGGGGCCTCCTCCTTCAGGCATTGCTACCCTGGTCTCTGGCATTGCTGGTGGTGAGTGCATTGGGATAGATACACATCACTGGCCCAGAGGAGACTAATTTTTTGTCTCCTCTGTCCTTGGCCTTGGTTTTGACTTCTGCCACCTTCTCCTCTGGATGTTCAGCTAGGAATGTTTGCCCAGCTGCACTCCGCCTACTTTCACCCAAGTTTTGACTTTCACAAATGATATATGTAGACTACTTCTGGACAAATAGGGGATTACCAGATTTGTCAGAAGGTCAGCATAATAACATTAGGTGAACTCTGCTAGTTCTCCCTTCTGGATCTTTCTATCCCAACCCTGTGTCCAGAGGGTTGTCAGTCTGAAGCAGTATGGGCTAACTCTTCCCAGGGCATCCAGCTGTGCCTCTCTTGGCACTGCTATTGAGTTGATATGGCTTCATTCTATGATGTGATTATTTCTTCTATTGTATAATTGTCAGTTTTGCTTGTGGCTTGTGTTTTGACCTTTACCTAATCACTCATGGTCCAGGCTTCTTTTCTACTTTCCAGGCCCAGTCTCCCACTTTCCTTGGTAAGAAAGTGTCTGATGCCATCTTAGTTCTCATCTGTCCTGGAGTTGTTTTTTGTTGTTCCTTCAGTTTCTTACTTGCCCTTTTCACCTCCAGAAGCTAATTTCCTTGGCTGGAATTAAACTTTTTCTTGATGCTCTTGTGTCTTATCAGATAACTCCTCTGAAGATCTTGTTCTCGGCTAAGTCCTTATCATGGATGCCTTTTGATTTTGGGTGGTGACCAAGTATCTTGTGTTATAGGACTCCTGTGATTATATAAAGTTTCAACATTATTTGGAAAGGGTGTTCAGAATAACCATTTTATAGTGTTTAATGAAGGTTCTTTAAACAAATGCTGATTCTGAATTAATGAAACTTCCTACGAAAAGGAGGCATTTTTCCTCAGCATTGGGGAAACCTAAGGAACAAAGGAATGGTTTGCATTCTCTACCTAAGTTTTACTGGTGAGCATTAAGGGTACAAGTGCATTGGAGTCTCTGGATTGCTCCCAGCACCCTTGTTGGAGATGGTGTTGCAAGTGCTCCTGCATTATACTCACCTTGCAATTCTCATATAGCACTTCCTGACCTAAGACCTTACTCCCTCCCCACCCCTCTTTTGGTTGGTCATGAGGCTTGAGCTCAGAGCCTGAGCTCTTTTTGCTCAAGGGTAGCATTTTGAGTCATAGCTCTGGTTCTCTGGTGGTTAATTGGAGATAAAGTCTCAGGGACTTTCTTGCCCAGGCTTGCTTTGAACTGTGATGCTCAGATCTCAGCCTCCTGAGTATCTAGGATTACAGGCTTGAACCACCAGCGTCCAGCCTCTTTCCTCTCTTTTTATATATATCTGCTTCTATGCTAAAGGAGGGGCAGAGAAAGGGTCATCAGGAAAAGGGTTTTCCTCTGTTCAGGATCCCTGTGGTATGTCTACCTAGACCCAAATCATGTAATTCCTCTCTCCTCTTTTCCTGCTCTCCCATGGGCTATCCTGAGCACAGAAGACCAGCAGCGAGGTATAGACTCACTCTGGCTAGGGCTTACTAGGGCTGGTGGGAATCAAGGTTGGGGAATAACCAGAACTGGAGGTGGGAGGAAAGGAGGAAGAACAAGGATGGAGCCCAGCTTTTAACCTTCTCCACTTGTGACTGAGGTCATTTGTTATGATATCCACAGGGGGCGCTCCTGGGCAGGCTCCAGGTTCCTTGCCAGGCCCAGGGCTGGTGAAGGATTCACCCCTACTGCTTCAGCAGATCTCTGCTATGAGGCTGCACATCTCTCAGCTTCAGCATGAGAACAGCATGCTTAAGGTGAGGAGCCTACAGGGAGGACTGGGGTAGAAGGTGAAGCATGTCTGCCTCTATTGAAGAGTGATGGCAGAGGCCTTCTAGGGCCTCTTCCACTGCCTCTCTTTTTCCCCCACAGGGATCCCAGATGAAGGCATCCTTGGCAGCTTTGCCCCCTCTGCATGTTGCAAAGCTTTCCCTCCCACCCCATGAGGGCCCTAGCAGTGAGCTAGCAGCTGGAGCACTGTATCGCAAGACCAGCCAGCTTCTGGAGACATTAAATCAACTGAGTACACATACTCACGTAGTAGATATCACTCGCACCAGCCCTGGTATGTTCACTTGGTCAGATGAATACTGTACCTCCCCTCTTCCCCAGTGATTTAGCTTCTTCCTAGAAGTCCTTGTGCCATAGAAGATCTTCCCAATAGTGTCCTTTAGTTTCCAAGTTGTTTGCTTGATTGACCCAATCTCTTTAGTACTTGTTCCATGAGACCATCAAGTAACTGTATTCCTGACCCTTAATTCAGTTCAGCTGCCTGTCTGGGCCTCAGTGGGCCTCACCAGCTTTCCCTCCCAACAGCTGCCAAGAGCCCATCGGCTCAGCTTATGGAACAAGTGGCTCAGCTCAAGGCCCTGAGTGACACCATTGAGAAGCTCAAGGTCAGTTCAGTTTCTATTCTCCTCCACCCTACAAAGCTCACTTCAGAGCATTCATTGGTGGAACTAGGTACTTCTGAAGTTCCTTGGGCCAGTTCTGTGCCAGACAGCACATTGGGGAGTAGGTGGGAAGCCAGAATTTTGCCTTGGGAACTACCTTAGTACAAACAAGATAAATTCTCATCAGCAGAATGTGTGAGCTAGGATCCTCTTTGGGGTTTGTGGCTTGGGCTACAACTTCTGTTAGAACAAAAATCACTGTGGGGTAAATCACTTATGGGCATGGTTCCCTAGAGACAGGGAAAACTGGGCTTTAAAGAATGTGGATCTGGGGCTGGAAAGTTGGCTTAGTGGTAGAGTGCTTGCCTTGCTGTATGAAGGCCCTAGGTTCGATTCCTCAGTACCATGTAAGCAGAAAAAAGCCAGAAATGTGAGGGGGCTGGGAAGGTGGCTCAGTGGTAGAGCGCTTGCCTTGCATGCATGAGGCCCTGGGTTTGATTCCTCAGCACCACATAAGCAAAAAGAAAAAGCTAGAAATGATGATATGGTTAAGTGGTAGAGTGATAGCCTTGAGCTGAAGAGCTGAGGGACAGCGCCCAGGCCCAGAGTTCAGGCCCCACGACTGCCTGCACCCCCCTAAAAAAAAAAAAAAAAAAGAAAGGATCTGTAAAGAGGGATGTTGTTGTGGGGATGAAGTTGAAGGTGAGAACAGAAGTATAATGATGACTGAATCTTTGCCCTTCTGGCAAAGCATTTCTATGAAACCAGGGAGGCCTTGTCCTAGCCTGTGGGGACTCCTAAATGAAGTCTTGTTTTGCCCTCTCCAGGATGAAGTCCTTAAGGAGACAGTAACTCAACGCCCTGGAGCCACCGTCCCCACTGACTTTGCCACCTTCCCTTCTTCTGCCTTCCTTAGGGTAAGGGGGAATATAGTGCAGAGAATAAGGTGGTATGGGGGCTTCAGGTGAGTGTCCCACTCCTGGGAATTTGAAGAGGCCTCCAGAGGCTCAAATTCAACAAATATTTACCCTATTTGTTGTTGTTGTTGTTTTAGTTTTGGTCTGGCAAGTCCAAGTATTACTTGCAAGTAATTCAAAAGTGCTCTCAGTGTTTCTACAAATTCTAATATTTCAGAAAAATATAAAGAGCACACCCCTGACTTTTTATATCAGGTGACACTCAAAACTCCCTTGTCAGACTGTATACACCATTCCCCCTATTCTAATTTGAAAAATGGGGTCACCATGGCCTAAGACCTCAGAAGCTTCACTCTCCCAAGGGCTACCCCTGATCTCAGTATTCAGGGTATCCTTCAGTGGCCAAACATTCCAATAAATCCCTAACCTGGCATCCTGTTTCTTTCTCCAACACCAAGGCCAAGGAAGAGCAGCAAGATGATACAGTCTACATGGGCAAAGTGACCTTCTCCTGTGCAGCTGGCCTTGGACAGCGACACCGGCTGGTGCTGACCCAGGAGCAGCTGCACCAGCTACACAGTCGCCTCATCTCTTAAGCACTCCTCCCTTCCCTGCTGCCTGTTCAGCCCTCAAATCACCCTGCCCCTGTACTGCTCTGCCCGATGCACAGCCCCCAGCCAACCTCAGCCAACCCCCAGGTAGAACCATGTGAATTAAGCTCTTCCCGCTCCATTCAGCTCTGCTCCAATCCTGTCAATCTCCTGCTCCTGCCCTTCACATGGGTTTCCCCACTCTCATCCCTTACCTCTTCCATAATTAGCTGTTCAGCTGCTCCCTCTTTCCAGAGGGGGCCTCAGGGCATGTGGGGGGGTGTAGGCTGAGACCCCACCACCAAAGGTTGAGTGAGGTCCCCCTGATTGAGGACTTCACCCCTGATTAAAGCAACTTTTGCTTCAGTGCCTTCTGTGTGGTCTTGAGAGTGGAACCTGAGATGTTTGGTTCAGAGCAGTAGTGGAGAAGAGATGCTAGGAAGCTCCAACTCTGTCAAATTTGAGGGCCTCCGCTCTGTAGTGACCAGTTTAATGCTGTGCCCCTCAAATGCACCTATGTAAGCTACTCTGAGAAAGGAGAAAAAGGCTAGGTTTAGAGCTAGATACTGAAGTTCATTTAGGAAATTGGGAGTGCTAGAGCAGTGTAGCTCTGCCAGCCCTGCTCTGCCTCCTGGAATATCCAATCCAGTTTCTGGAGCTGAAGTAATGATATGCTCACCACCTGTCCTCAATAGCCCAGACAACTTTCTGTTGTCCTGACCATCTCCTCATTAGACTGGGGTTTCTAAACTAGGGGAAACTGATATTTCAAACCAGTAAGAAAGGATAGAAGTTATAAAAGCTGCTCCCAAGCCCCATAGCAGATTAGTATCAGTTGAGTTGCTAGATCTTAACCTAGACTAGTTGAAATAGCTCAAGAGTTGAGATTCACTGGGCTTGTGAGCAATACCCCAGTATTTTAGAACTTAACCCAGTTTAGTTTTTTTTTGGGGGGGGGGTCCGGTCGTGGGGCCTGAACTCTGGGCCTGGGCGCTGTCCCTCAGCTCTTCAGCTCAAGGCTAGCGCTCTACCACTTGAGCCACAGCGCCACTTCCGGCTTTTTTTTAAAATTTTCTGCTTATGTGTTGCTGAGGAATCGAACCCAGGGCCTCATGCATGCAAGGCAAGCGCTCTACCACTGAGCCACCTTCCCAGCCCCCCCAGTTTAGTTTTGTTGGTAGTTCCTTGATAGTCTTTATTATTGTCCACATGGGGAAAAAGACATCTAGTTTCCAAAGTGCTCTGATCCAGATAGAGAAAGGTCCTTGGTGCTTTGGAGCAGTCTAGCTGGGCCAGGCTCCACACATATACTGTCTTTTTTGAGGGCCAGGGGAAGACAGGAGGAAGGAGACTACAAGATGAGAGCCTAGGAGGCACATTCTCAGTTAGAGCATGGATATCTCAGTGGATATTAGCCATTCTTAGTGGGGTTTTGAAAGCAAGTGATCTGAGGGGCTTTCCTGAGTACTCTCAAGGATATACGACTAATAATATGCTAGATGTATAAGATTTAATTGATAACATACAGGGATGCCACCAAATGTTAGAGCTTCCGTCCTGTCAAACTGGTTGACAAGAATTGTGTCTTTATACTAGGTTGTCTTTTCCCCTATGAATTTGACTTCTCTAGAACTAAGGAAATTGCAGGCCACACTGTCCTGTCCTAGGGATTAGATTGTGTAGCTGTCCTTTATACCTAGTGATTACCTATCTAGATTTTGGGTTAAGACACTGAGGACTAATACTAGGTAACTTCTGAGAAGAAGACTTTTTTTTTGTTGTTGTTGTTGTTTTTTGTCAGTCATGAGGCTTGAACTCTGGGCCTGGGCGCTGTCCCTCAGCTCTTCAGTTCAAAGCTAGTGCTCTACCACGTGGGCCACAGAGCTACTTCCAGTTTTCTGGTGATTTATTAGAGATAAGAGTCTCAAGGTCTTTCCTGCCCAGGCTGGCTTTGAACCATGATCCTCAAAACTCAACCTCCTGAGTTAGGAGGCTGACGGCGCCTGGCTGAGACCAGGACTTTTTGATCCATCTTTTTCCCTTAGCAGCAGTTTCTCATCCCTTGAACTACTGTTCTGCTGAACCTGAGACTTAAATGCCCCCACAAAGATCTGTCTCAGTCAACATGTCCAAAACTGGAATCACTTCTGTGTCCTAGATGCCATAAGCCACAAACCTGGATATCTTTTTTTTTTGTCCGTTGTGGGGCTTGAACTCTTGGCCTGAGCACTGTCCTTCAGCTCTTTAGCTCAAAGCTAGTGCTCTACCACTTTAGCTACAGTGCCACTTCCCATTGGAGATAAGAGTTTCACGGACTTTTCTGCCCGGGCTGTCTTTGAACCATGTTCCTCAGATCTCAGCCTCCTGAGTAGCTAGGATTACAGGCATAAGCCACCAGCACCCGGCAAACTTGTATGTCTTTGACCCTTTCTTCAACCTCAGAACTTTAATTACCTTGCCAGGCTCCAGTGGCATACACCTGTAATCCTGGTTGGGGCAGGAAAGTTCATTAAACTTTTTTCCCAATTAACTACCAAAAGGCCTGAAGTAGCGCTGTGGCTCAAGTGGTAAAGCACTATCCTGGAGCAGAAAAACTCAGGGAGAATACTCAGGCCATAACAATAAACCCTAGAAGACCACACACACACACACACACACACACACACACACACACACACACACACACACACACACACACACACACACACACACACACACACACACACACACACACACACACACACACACACACACACACACACACACACACACACACACACACACGACAAAAACTCAGGGAGAATACTCAGGCCATAACAATAAACCCTAGAAGACAACACACACACACACACACACACACACACACACACACACACACACACACACACACACACGACATTTAGTTACCTAGCACTTTGAGAATACTCAGGCCATAACAATAAACCCTAGAAGACAACACACACACACACACACACACACACACACACACACACACACACACGACATTTAGTTACCTAGCACTTTTTTTTGTCGTCCTGGTCTTGAACTCTGGATCTGGTTGCTCTTCAGCTGAAGGCTATTACTCGGCCACTTGAGCCACAAGTGTCACTTCCAGTTTTCTGGTTGTTAGTTGGAGATAAGAGTCTCCCAGACTTTCCTGCCCAGGTTGGCTTTGAACCACAATCTCAGATCTCAGCCTCCTGAGATCTCCTCCCCCCCACCTTCCTTTTTCACACCCTCCTTCCCTTCCTTTCTACCTTCCTACTTTTTTTTCTTTTTTTGAGATGCCTCTAGTGTTACCACCTCAGGGAACCTCTAAGCCTGGCTTATTAGGTGTTCCTCTTCTGAAAGTAGCAAAAATGTTGACTTTCAGGTAAATTTGGATTGAGTTGCTTTATGACCTTTGTGAGGTTTCTAATCTGTAATGTGTTCTTATTTGCAGAATGAGAATAAAGATACCTTACAGGATTGTTGTGAAGGCTAGCTGAGTGCTAGTGCATACAAGCACCAAGCACTGCCTGGCACACAGTGTGCATGCTTCTCTTCCTCAGTATGCGCTCCTGCTACTCTGCTCTATACCAGTAAGCATCTGTGTCTAGTATCATTGTTAACTCCTCTGTCTCCCCTGTTTGACAGAAAGTTCCTAAGAGTGTCTTCCACCTCTTTAGCCCCCAAAACACAGAAGTACACACATTTGAGGAGGAGTGGTTTCATTCTAGACATGAATTTAAGGTGGCTATGAGAATATTTAAGTGGATGTCCATTTGACAGTTGGATCTCAGTGGGTCTGGATCTCAGCAGAGTCTAAAGTGGAGATGATATTTGGGAAATGAGTTGGAACATGTCAGTGGTGGGTGAAGGAAGGATTTGCTTGAACTCAGAGACTGGGCACGCTCTCTTAGCTTTTTCTGCTTAAGGCTGGAGCTCTTTCACTTGAGATTCAGCTCCACTCCGGCTTTTTGGTAGTTAACTGGCAATAGAGTGTCACTGACTTTCCTGCCTTGGCTGGCTTTGATCTCAGATCTCAGCCTCCCGAGTGGCTAGGATTACAGGTTTGAACCACTACACTAGCATCTGGTGAGTTCACTCTCATAATTCAGGCTTCTCAGTAAACTTGAGGCAAAGCTTAAATGCTAGGGTTTTATTGGAAGTTGCAGTCCCAGAACAGTGAGGGAAAGAGGAGAAGGAAATTAAAAGCTTGTTTAATGAATTTGCCGCTGCTTCATGAAGATGCAGCTTGCCCACATGAAGTGACTCTGGATAGAATACACAGAAGCACCATGCTTAATATTTATGGAGGGATAAAGAGGAAGTTTACCTGTTCTTCCTCCTGGTTACCCTTTGCTCAAAATTTGTTCTGAATAGTGGTAGCATCCTCTCATGTGCTGGAGTGATGTGCAGTGTGGCACTTCATGCAAGTCCTGAAGTGCTGAGGGGAACAGACTATGAGCACTTGGCTGCCAGAATTGGGTCAGAGCAGAGTAGCTGTTGGACCTGGAAGTTAGGTAAGGCTGAGAGAAGCTGAAGCAGCAAGTCACTGTAGGAGAGAGCATAGATGGGGGGAAGGTGGAGAGTCCTGGGCAGCTCTAAGAATTAACCTACAGCAGAGTTGAAATGTCCACTGATAGCAGAGGACCTTCTGGTGTGTGTGTACCAGGATCAAGAGAGGACAGAGACTGAGGAGTTCAAAAGGCAAATGAGTTCTAGGAAGTAGCCACTGTGATTCCCAGATGTCCAGTGAACTGGCTGATAGTCTCCCTGTCAAAATAGCACACAAAGAAAAGGAGAAAAAGTAAATTATAGTTTTATTATACCTTTAAAAAAGAACTTACCAGGGGCTGGGAAGGTGGCTCAGTGGTAGAGCGCTTGCCTTGCATGCCTGAGGCCCTGGGTTTGATTCCTCAGCACCACATAAGCAAAAAGAAAACAGCCGGAAGTGGCGCTGTGGCTCAAGTGGTAGAGTGCTAGCCTTGAGCTGAAGAGCTGAGGGACAGCGCCTAGGCCCAGAGTTCAGGCCCCACAACCGGACCCAAAAAAAGACTTATCAGGGCTGGGAATGTGGCTTAGTGGTAGAGTGCTTGCCTAGCATGCATGGAGCCCTGGGTTCCATTCCTGAGTACCACATAAACAGAAAAAGCCATAGGCGGCTCTGTGGCTTAAGTGGTAGAGCCTTGAGCAAAAGCTCAGGGATAGTGCCCAGGCCCTGAGTTCAAGCCCCAGAACTATGAAAAAACAACAATAACAACAAAAACCCCACAAAAATCACCTCATCAATTGACCAATGTTCAAATTTTTCTCATGTCATTTAGAGTCTACATATTAAATAGCTGAGGTAGAAGCTACAGTGGCACATAGACACCTGAGGCAAA